CATGTGTGTGTGACCTCAGGGCAGACCCCCTTTTCCTACTCCTTGCCTTTCTCCTGTGTTCTGTCCCACGTCCAATATCAGCCGGCGCACACACAAACTGAAGAAAAACTTCAAAAACCATCAAGCAGAGCTCAGTCGATTCTTCCCCTGAACCTCACAGTCTCAGCTCCTCCTCTGCCCAAGTTGTAGTGTGTGTGCAGGCATGTGTATGTGTTATTCTCATCTGTGTGTGTGTGCATTTGAAATGCCACAGCTAGGCGAAGTGATTTTGCCCGCAACAAACACAGAGATATCTTTGTCCAGCGCTCCCTCCACCCTACATCTGTCACTTTGATTGTGGGCACTTTGCAGGACGCTCTGCCTCAACAGGTCTGGAGCCTCCCCCAGCCTGTTGCCCTCAGTCGACTTCGACACTGCCTCTTGGAGAAGCAGGCGATCCCTCCCCACGCTAGGACGGGAGAGGACAGGGGGACAGCCCCCCATGGGAGAAATGACAGTGCAGTTCCTGTTAATCTCTAGGACGAGTCCCGAAATGGCAGCAGGGGCCTGCCACGAATGCTAATCGCAGCCGACACACTGGTCTCCCCCTACTCACACACACACACACACACACACACACACTTCCAGTCCTGCCTGAATGCCTGAGTGCCAATCTCCAGCTGGAAGGAAAAGGGGCAGTCATCACAAGATGCATCTGACAAGGTTTTATTCCGTTTTGCTGAAAAAGAGAAAAAAAAAAATCTTTCCTTCCTTGAAAAGCGCAGGATGATGAGTACATATGTTGATTTTCAGGCTGTGTCTTCCCATCAGGCCATGGGACGGCATGACAGCGGGATAGTGTGACACTACATAGTGACTTGTTAAGTGTTACTGCATAAGGCTCTTAAGTGTGTTTACTTGGATCTTTACCTTCCTGCTGCACTCCAGTCTTCATTTTTTACTGTCTACCTCTCATTCTGTTTTCTACTCTGACCCCCTGCCTCTTCTCCACAGTGGACAGCTCTGAAGCCTCGAGCAGGCAGAGGGACAAGAGAGTGGTGGCACCCAGACCAATGACCTGCTTCTTGCCCCGGGACTGAGAGAGAAGCATTCACTGAAATAAGAAATTGGATCTGGAGAGAGAGAAGGGTAGAAGCAGGTAGGTGGGCTGCTGGGCAGCAGGTCTTCTCCTACCAACCCTCCTCCACCCCCATCTTCCTTCCAGCCCAGAGGCCTTGGCATCCAGTGAGTAACACCCCCCCTTCCCTTTTCCCTTTCCCATCACTGCCCCCCACCTGTTCAGAGCCACGGTGCAGTCAGTGGCGTTCAGCGTGTTGTGAACACAAAGCAACGGCCCCGCGGCCCTCCGCCTGGACCTCAGTGTCAAGACCCAGCCAAGCTGAGAGACAGAGAGAACATGAGAGGGAGAGAGAACGGAGAGCAGCTAAATGCAGAATAATTATACCCAGTGGGTAATGTGAGCACCGTCGTTGCAGGGGCAGTGTGGTTGGGCCGGGGAGGAGAGAGACACAGAGGCAAGAGCGTCACCGGGGTGAGCTTGCAGGGCCAGTGGGCATGTTTGGTAAACCAGGCTCACAGACCTCCCACTGCACTGCTAAAGCACTGTTGGTGGAAGTGCTGCAGGAGATCATCTGGATACTGGCGAGCATGTACTCACAGGGGGCTGAACACTGCAGATATGTGGAAGTGTAGTAAAAAAAAAAAAAAAGATGAGGGAGGAAAATTTGGTCTGCTATGATGAGGAGAAATATATATTTGTAGACTATGTTTTGGTAAAAAATATGAAGAAAAAAGAAATCTGTCGTTATGGATTCAAGCAAATGGATAAATTAAAGAAACACAATAACACCTAATACATTTTTTTCTAAGATAAATAACATATATACATAATACATACAATAAATGTCATCAAATTTTAGAGGCCCTTCAAAATAGCATGGACCTTTCATGTCAATTACATTTACAGTACATGACTGCCTGATTAACTATATATTAAACAGGTCAGTTATGTAGAAGTTCAATCAGTAAATAGTTATAAAAAATTTAAATAATTATACTTCTAATAAAAAAAAAATGAACTGACATAACCGGCACATGTAGAACAGCAGTTAACTGAGCAGAATAAAACATATGTGTATATTATTAAAGGCTGATAGTATGAGCAGCATTAAAATGAGGACGGTTACTGAAAAAATACATTATTGAAATTGATGCTGACAGAGTTATTTTAAGTTTTACAAAGCTGTAACTTTGAACACAGCCTTTTCTTCTAAGTGACAAATTTGGAGAGTGTGCTAGAAAGGCTTTGTGCTTGGTGCAGGGGGTTTCAAGTAAAAAGCAGAATTCACTTAATAGACCTGTGAGACAGAAATGCAGAGAAACATGATCTGCTGTCGTGCGACGAGCTCTAGCATGCAAACTGCAGCCCAACGTAAGAACGCTTGCAGATAAGGATGCAGAAGGACAGATATTTCCTTGTTATGTTGATGTTGGCCCATCTCTCCAAATTTTTTAATGCTGTCGAAATCTCAACTTCAGATAAGTTTTAAAGGTTTTTTTTCCCTTTTATTAGTGGAGGACCGGACACTTTTCTTTCCTTTTCAAAATTACACGAGGAATATATAGCCTTAAAAATGTGTTTAAAATTCTAATGTTATTTACAGGAATTCACTTTAAACTTAAGCATGCAAAATGTAAATTAAGCTGTATGTAATGCTGAATTATGAAATAGGTTTTAGAGAAATTCTAATAAACATTTCAGGCCTTATTTAACTGACTCAAATCCTTATGCTTTGTTATGCATTATGCATTTTAATCTGTTTTTACAGGTCTACAAGGAAGATTTTGTTGTCAGATACTTATTTTTGATACTTTTTTTGTGCAAAATATCTGGGTTTTTTTTTTAAAAAAAACTATGAAATATAAATAAAGCAATTTATCATTTTTAGCATCTCTTGGGCTTGAAAAAAGCTTTCAAGTTGTTGATGGGGGGTGAATATGTTACATTTATTTAGCCTCTACCATTCTCGAAGTTGATCCTAATGTTTTTAATTTCACCCTGCAGAGTCATGAATAAACAAAACAACAGGATGCACATTCCTGTCAGAAAGCCCTTTGCTGGTTCTGATATGTTTTGCAGTCAGAGATCATCTCATGCTCCTCAGACACAGTGAAAGACTTGTTTTTGTCCCTCAGCCTGTTGATCAATCATTTAATCTCTTTAATGGGGCCAAATCAAAACTAATGGAGCATGAAATACGTATTTATCCAAATACTGCGGACAGTGGGGGGACTCAAGTGGCATCTTCATTTCCTCTTAACTAAGCATGACAGTTCAAATGAATTTGGGGCTCACAAGCAAACTTTTGACAGCTCATATGCAACATTTGCCCAAAACAATGCCCCTTCTCACACTGGCTGAATTACTTTGCTCTTGCCACAAGTGCTGTGTTTATTAATGTATTTATGTCAATGTATTTGCATTTCATAAAGCGTAATAAAAGCAGTTGCTCAGCCAAGATAATTCAGACAGTGGTGTGTTGCCAGTTCTGGATTTTTATAAAATAAGGTAAGATTTAGTGCCATCCTGTGGCGAGTGCAGTGAAGACAGTTCCTCAACGAAACAGAAATGACTGAAATTTAAACTATTATTGTTTTATTTAGAAATTGATATGTTACTACTATTTAAATCTTAGAGTTTATTTCTGGTTTATTTTGAGTAACATTATCATACATACATATATATATATAAAGTAACTCTGGTAATATGCACATAGAGTAATATATGGATTTTTGCTATTGTGCAGTCATTATCATAAGACATGAGACTTTTCTCAAAGAATACATAACAAGAAGATGTAATCAAAATGTCACAGCAGAGCTATGTAGGTGCTTTACTTTCTCCCTGTGTAAAGATTAACTATGATATTAAAATGTCATTATAGTTATATAATAGCTCATGTTTATAGATCAGCTATGTGCCTGGATTAGAACAACTTTTTTGTTTGCCAGGTTGTGGAAAAATCCCCCTGGCTGCTTTTGATCCCTTTTCCAAGATACAATATTGTGTAACACAGATACAAATATTGGTAATCAATTAGTCAATGCTTGTGTTTTTTCCACACTGTAATAAGTCAAGTTTATAGTTAGAAAAGTTATTAAGTTGTTAATAAATGGAATTTGGATCAAATGCTCTGGAAGTTTTTCCAAATTGTACATTGTTCATGAGCGTTTCTACCCAATAAATTAAAGGATCATCTATGGAAGTAAAATAAGTGTCCTGTTGTAGAAAGATAATTAAAGTGGATTTCTCCCAACCTGGCAACCTCAAAGTTATTCCTATGAATGAATAACTTTTTTAAAATGTGGAAATATTTTGCCATAAAAAAAATACAAAAAATAAGTGTATGTTTTCAAATGCTGTTTTTTTAAATATTTTTTCCCACCTAATTATAAGATGTAGGTGTTAGTAAATGATCTAACATACACAATGCCTAATTAAGTGCGATTTATTAGTTAGTAGCGGGATTTAAATGAACTTGTTGAACTAAGGTTGAAAGAGTGCAAAAACAGGCAAATAGTCAGGGAAAAGGTTGAAATAAAAAGTTTGAAACAAATTTCAGACAGACATTTTTCTTAAAATACAAAAAAAAAGAGTGAACAGATAAGCAAGTAAATGAGTTTAAAAAGCAGGATTTGTTTCTACACAGAACAAGACTGACATCTGCTGTCCGAGGTAAGCAAAACAGACACACGATACTTTCGTACAGAAACTTACGCTGACAATCACATTTTTAAAAGTCCCAAAGTATAAAGCACATCCCCGTGACTAACTTAATTAATTAATTCAATGTGCTGTTGTAAAAAAGAAAAAAAAAAAAAAGTCAGAGGAGGAACCCTCATTAGGTTAAGTGGGACCTCCCACCCCCGCCTTATTTTTTCTTGGTTCAGTCCACGGTCTCGCACCCGGAAGTAGTAGTAAACATATTTTCAGTCAGCTGACTGGCATTCACCTGACTGGGGTTATCAGTACAGCCTCACATTGTTTTCATCCTGCAGCTGATATTTGTTGCTGCTGCACATCGCTATTGAACGCGCTAAAAGTCTAGCTAAGCTACGTATTTTGTTTTAACACTCAGCTGTCAGTTAGCTTAGCATTTGGAACATTTAGCAGCTAGCTGAGCCAACTAGCAGCTTCACAGGAAGAAAAAATAAGTTATTTATCCACTGAAACGACGTTCAGCAGAGTTTATAAAAATGGACAAGATCGCTAAAGGTGAGTGACATCAACAGCAGTCAAACCGTTTTTAGTGTTAGCATGTTAGCTTCGCTGTTTGCCTTTTATCAGTGCAGCTGATCTCAAACAATAAGCTGATGAAACAGTAGAAGGACTGTGATTGAAATTAGGATCTTGTTTTTACAGTACTAAAGAATAGCTTTCAAAGGCTTTTGTGTAGAAATGCCATGCTAAAAAAAAAAAAAAAGCACTTCTAGCCGCCAGTTCAGTTTTTCTTTGTTTACACTGTTCTTACTGTGAGCTGTGTTGATCCTGCAGATGTGGGTGATATCCAGTCTCGACTGTTAGACCACAGACCTGTCATCAATGCAGAGATCCGCTACTTTGTGAGAGAGTTTGAGGTATTTGACCTAACAATAATGTGGGGCCTGAACCCTACACACACCTTCACCAGCAGTTCACACACACTCACATGGTGATGTACCCCGTACCACACACTCCAACCCAGCCTGCAGGGCTTCTTCACTGTAGTTTAGCTGAACTAAACTCCTGACTACTGTGTGAGGAGGAAGGAAAAACAAGGTTGCAGGGTGTATTTTCTGCATTAATAACAGACAGTTTAGGTATGAAAAACAATGAAGCGCCTAATCAGGGCAAACCGGACTGGAGACGTTGCATTTTGTGCATTTTGAGACCTTAACCCCATAAAAAAGCATCCCGTGTTTAATTTTTTTTCATTTCTACCTTTTTTTGTGTCAGATGTATGTTATCTATAAGTTTATATAATCTTATAATGCAGAATGACGTAAAGCTGTACATCACATATCAAAAATCAAGATACCAAAAAACAAAAGGGCGCTTGAAGTACTATTACTTGTATTCATATTGTAATACCATTCAGGTCAATTAAAAAAAAAAAAAAAAAACTAAATGTCTGGATGGACACACGACACAACTAGTGGTCGATTCATGACTGATAACCAATATTTGGAAACAATATGCATTTGTTAGAGAGAAGGGGCTGTATCAGAGCCAAAGTAGCACCTTTTCAGAATCTTTTAAGTGATGTTTGAGTACATTAACATACAAGACAAAAGTACTGTTCAATTATTTGAACATGCAAGAACAGCAGCTGAAACCAGTGTCACCTTGTAAACAGAGCTGCAGTATAGTTGCATTTTATAACTAATTTATTTTATCCAGAATCTTTTTTTCTTTTTTTTCTTTTTTTTTAAATGATACCATTATCTATACACCGCTTAAGCCTCATTAGGGTCGCGGGGGGCTGGAGCCTATCCCAGCCCACTTAGGGAAAAGGGGACACCCTGGATAGGTCGCCAGTCTATCGCAGGGCCACACTTAGAGACAGACAACCAAGCACACTCACATTCACACCTACGGACAATTTAGAATCACCAATTAACCTCAACATGTTTTTGGACCTTTTCACACAGAAACATTCCGGTGCCCCCACCGGGACGCAAACCGGTGACCTTCTAGCTGCGAGGCAACAGTGCTAACCAACTGCGCCACCTTGCAGCCCTAAATGATACCAATAATCTAAAAAAAAATGTTGAATATGAGATCCAATAAAGGGCCAGGCAGATCAATCCCAAGACACAATAGAGGTGCACACACTATTCTGGCCCATCAGCATAATTCACAACTCACCACATTTTGTGTTTAAGATAAACATCTTTTGTAGTTTTTATCAGTGTTTTTCACCTGATTTTAATATACGATATTAATTTCTGCTGTAGCATGCTTCCCAGAGTGTTGAGTTTTTTGAAACACTTGTATTTTAGTTGACTTTTTCTGCTGCTGTTTAGGAAAAACGGGGACACAGAGAGGGCCGACTGCTGGAGAATCTGGATAAAATGGTGGTGGAAACAAATGAGCAAATGGTCCCTACAAATTTAGAGGACATAACCAAGCAGCTGTCTGACGTCGTCAAACGGTGTAAGTCACCTCACCTGACTTTTTTTTTCTTTTCACATTACACTTGTTTTCATACTCACACAGAAGGCATTTATATAGAAGGAAAGCATGTTGAATAGTATTACACAATTTGTCCAATCAAGGCTGTCAAATAAATGTGCTCCTCATTCAATATAATGTACTGATCATTTTGTTATTACCTACAGTAGTGTATGTTGCACTGTGTTCAAACTGTGCTTCATGTAATTTGACTGTGTTTTGATTCCTCATAGTGGTACTGTATGATGACATATAGGTATGGATATAGTCAAGAGTATGGAAAGTTTTTAATATCTTGAGTACATATTTTACTTCTGTCCCACAGTGGATGCTGCCAATCACATGGCAGAGAGAGTCCAGCAGAGGGAGCTAGAGGCACAACAGGTACAAACACAGGCAGATGAGCAGGGACACAATTTGATAGCCTCAGAAAACCAGATTGCACTGTTGGCATTTATGACTGTACAGTCATTTTATATACAGCACAGTACTGGATCTTCTTTAACATTTTACGACATTTGTTGTGCTCATCTCTTCTTCACATGTTCTTCCAGAGCGCCCAGCTGCAGGCAAACATGGAGCAGTTGAAAGGCGAGTGGGCAGAGTTTTTGAAGGAGCAGCAGCGATTAAAAGAAGAGGTGGATGAGGAGCACGCCAAGGCTGTAGGACAACTCAGCGCTAAGTACAACGAAAAGAAGAAGGAGCTGGCCCAGTTTTCGTTCGTCTGATCTGTTGCTGTTTGCAAGGATGTGACTGAACAAATAGTCTTTCTTGTTATATGAACACTTTGTTGCAGACATAGATGTCTGTTGTGCACACACAAACGGCTGAAAAAAACGCATGAAACTTGGAGGTTTTGCACCTGCAGACGTGTCAGCATTTTCCAAATCATAAATATGAAAGCGTGATTACCAGTGTGGCATTTTCACAGCCCATCAAATTCACATTTTTTTGTCTTTAGCACCTGGAGTATGTACAGCATGAAGAAAGTCTGGAATATGTCATTTTTAAACAAGCAATCATTTGATTGTTCCTTGTCTGTGAAGTTTGTAACATTCAAGATTCTTAATGGGTGCCTGCCTGAAGGGATTTAATGATAAATTAACATCACGTTGAAAGGAACCTTGAGTTTGGCCACAAGGTGAGATATTCCAAGCACTGAAAAGCAGATCATTAAAAGTTAGAAAAGCCTTTCTGAGCAGGTGTGTTTAACGTCAAGGCCAAGTGTTGTAGAAATGACCTTAAACAGAACACTGTCCAGAAGGACTCGTCCCTCACCAGCTCTCCTATGTTTGGAACTTTTCACTTCTGACATTAACTTCAAGTAAACTAACTGTCTGTATGAAACAAGCTTCATTATAAAAGGCTGAATGCTTAGCAGCAGATGTTTTTCATTTGTTTTGCCAACTCGTTTCTGATTTTAATGAGGCACAAATCCAATGTTTTTATTGCTGTACACATAGAAAAAATCTAATCAAATTAGGGCTCTTTTAGGGAATTTCCTTCTGGTTTAGAGTATTCAACATTCCCAAAATCATAAACACAAACTCAAATGTTGACAGATAAGTGACAAATTAAAGGAAAAACAAACATTAGGTGTCTTAGTAAGGTGTTTGGCCTCTGGAGCAGCTTCAACGCATCGATCCTCCAAGTCTCTGTGGCTACTGAAGGAAAAGAACACCATTCTTCCAACAGATATTCTCTCATGTAGTGTTTTGATGGTGGTGGTGAAGAGAGCTGTCCAACAATAGATGTGATCACTCAGAACAATGTTGTACTTATTTGCAGTGACCCTTCTTTTTAAGGAAACCAAACCATGCCAGCAAAATGCCCCCCAGAGCATAACACAGCAGATCTCCTTACTGTGGCTGTCAGTGATTCAGGTGTTTCCCTTCACTTCATCACCCATCTGTGGAGGAAGGTACTGACTTTACTGCTGTCATTCAAACATGTAGATATGTAACATAGAAGAGTTGTAATATACACTGAAAACAGATGTTTAGGCACAACAAAAAAGTTAATGCAACAGTGACAACTTCTAAATAAATTAGGTTCAACCAACAAAACTGTTGTGTTAGGAGACTTGTGCTTTTCTCTATATTAATTGCATTTTTAATTATTAATTACTTTGTCATTTGTAGCCTTAACACAATTTTTTCAGGTCTCAAAATCCTGAAGTCAAGGTTATCATGTCAGTTTATTTATTTTACTGCAACTTAGATTTTGTTTTAAATCAATAAACGCAGAAATTACACACAAACTTACTAGCTTTATTTTTTTCAACACAACTCATCAAAACAATGTTTGCTACTTTAATAGTTTTCCTAATGAATAACTTAATTATTATTTTTTTAACTCTTAAAACCATGCATTTAATGAAGCAGTACTAAAAGATCCCCTGAATTACAAAACTAAAAAAAAAGTGTGACCCTGATGTTGAAGACCTCTGAGGTCAACGTTAGCACAAACATTACAGGTCATGAAGTGTCTTGTTTTTCTAGCGTGCTGTTGGACAGGTTAAGGGATGGGTGGGCACACTGGGCATATTCCTGGCATGGCTGAGAGCAGAGTTCATCTGGACAATGCAGTAAAAGAAGTTACCTCCCTTCACACATCTTACCTCAATTTCCTTCAAACTGCACATACAGTATATGTATACGGGCCCCCTAAACAACTGTAGAAGCTGGTTTAGGCTCCAGGTCTCCCATAAACTGAAATAAAATGAAGTTTCTGTATGAAACATTAAACATGGAATCCGTCTGTGGCGGTGCAACTGACATGAACTAAGTGCTGTATCCCCTTTCACAGAAGCTGCAACTTTTTTCCATGTTTCCAAGGGTGACCTGTTGCTTGCCTGGCCTGTTTCGGTGAATGCACATATGAGCGAGCCTGGAGACTCGGTGGTAGCTATGTCATCAGGGATCACGGAGGGCACAGAAACGCCAGCAGATGTTTGAACGAAAGGGCCAACCTGCCCTGAGAAACGTCTGCATGCGTGCGCTTCCCTTCCCTTCTGCCTCGACGGCTGCAGCTGTCCAACGTGGCCAAGGCCATCGTTGCCTAACAAGGAGTGACAATACGGAAACATGGCCGGCCTCTGCCAGCAGGGCACCTTTTTTTCATCGACCCTTGCTTATGTTTTGGTTTCATTTAAAAGAAAGAAAAACAGAGTCACAGTAAAAGTCATATGAGTGTTAGCCATTCATGAGTAAAAGGTCACAAGCTTACCGTTATTGGGCCTGATAAGTTCAGCGTTTGTACCTGTCATAATGAGTTTTGACACTGCTGTGTAATGTCACATTTAGAAATAAACTGAAGTAAGAGAAAATGCAGAATTTTCTTGATTGATTTTGGAAGTAAGGCTGAGTTTATTTTTTTTTATTTAGACCAAGTAAGACTTTCCTTAAAGTAAAGATGACTTAACGTAGATCGGGAGACAAGAGCTTGTTATTTGCTTTAAATCCACAAAACGTGGGGGGGATGAGAGAGAATGCCCTCTTACCCAGCTGAGGCAATGTGGGGAGAGATCGAGGGTGAAAGTAACCTCTTATTATCCAGTACCAATTGCACTACAGGACTATTGCTGTCAATAACAATGTGCTCTTTGCCAAAATAAATTGACATTAAGCAATCTGGGATTTAGATCAGCATCTGTTTGTGAGTAAGGGATTGCAACAACACCAGGTTTTGACACTCAGGGGAATTTTGCTTCTAAGTCAAAGTGCAGACTAAACACAAAATAAAACTAAAAACTTCCGTACCTGTTCAAGCACTTGTTAAAGTTCAGTGACCTATCGGTGTCATAGCTGCATATATTTTAAGCCCATTTAAGCAAATAATATCTTGTATATGGTTTAGTAATGTAGCAGACATCAAGTTTAAGCTATTAGGCATCCCATCCTCTAAGGTCAGAAGCTTTCTCTCCACTCAGACATTTTGCAAAAAGCATGCATCCCAGTAAGCCGATGCTATGTGCAGGAACCAGCTGGGCACCAGCTGAAATCTTATGTTATCATCCTCCTCTGTCTGCTGCCTCACGTCTCTGGACCGTCGCTGGCTTGTTTTTGTCTCCCGAGTCTATCTGAAAGCAGTGTGTTCTTCCTGTTTTGCAGCTAGCACAGCACTCTGTGGACATGGAGCTGCTGCCGTCTGTGCCAACATAAATGGTAAAGGAAACAGCAGCACCCAGCTGCAGCTCCATTGAGCAAAGGCGGCAGCGATGAAGGGGGTGGCGGCAAATGTAACGCGATATTCCATCTGAAATAAAGCTTTCCACATCCACTAGAACAGAAGGAAATATTGCACAGGAATGAAATATGCAGATAACACCAGCTATTTACTTCAACCAGAAACTGAGTAAATCCCTGGAAGTCTGTAAGAGTCAGTTGTGGAGATTTCATCACATTTATTAGGCAAGAATTCCCTTTATCCTTCATCTGTGGGCAATTCAGGCCTTTTATTGTAATTGGGGCCAAGTCTAAACTGGTATATACTTTATGTGGATGACCCTGATATGGTTCTGTTACAAAAACGTCTCACGCTAGAATGTCCAACATCACCATCAGTGACATCTGACAACAAAACCTGATCTTCAAAGAGGTAAGTTGCCCTCTCTGCCCCCCTCATGTCATATCTCGATTGTCAACTGTTAAATTATCACATCCAAATTGTCCAAAACTGAGAAGAGATTGACTGGTAGCAGCATGAAATAGACCAAAAAAGCAACTTACTGTCTGAGCTTGAAGAAGAAACTTGGCTATATAAGATACTTAATAGAGAATTATGAGTTTAGATATATGCAAAAAATAAAATAAAAATAAAATGTTGCAGGCACATACAAGGGCTGCAAGGTGGCTCAGTAGTTAGCGTCATTGCCTCGCAGCAAGAAGGTCACCGGTTCGCATCCTGGTGGGGACACCCGGGATCTTTCTGCGTGGAGTTTGCACATTCTCCCCATGCACCGTGGGTTCTCTCCGGGTTCTCCAGTTTCCTCCCACAAGGTCCAAAAACATGTTGAGGTGTGAATATGAGTGTGCTTGGTTGTCTGTCCCTAAGTGTAGCCCTGTGATAGACTGGTGACCTGTCCAGGGGGTCCCTTGCCTTTGCCTTGAATCAGCTAGGATAGGCTCCATAGGCTCCACACGTCCCGCAAGCCCAGTGAGGATTAAGCGGTGTATAGATAATGGATGCACATACAACTCCAAAAAAAAACTGAGTGTTGTTTATGTTTTCCAGAAATCACATATTCACTGATTCACCTATGTCTCCAGGTTTTAAAATGCCACAAACTACATCTATGAAGTGTAAATATTCCCTGTATGTAAATTATTAAGAGAATGAAATATCCAGTGCATCTTGTTGACTAATAAAGTCAGTAGCTGAGAAATCTTAACTATATTTCCTAAACTTATTTGTTTAATATGCCTGTTATTTTATTTTAAGTTTACACTGTGCATTCTGCCTGAGAGAAATGCATTTATTCATAATATTCCTCAAGAAAGTATTGTATTGTATTAAAAGCAAATTCCTATTATCTCTTAATAAGCCTAGTCTCTGCGGTGCTAGATGGTATTGTTGAATCATGTAGATGTACATTTTACCCAGATTATATGAACATATGCAGATTCAGTTTAACAAGAAGGAACACTTCACCCAGAGATTTGTATTTGTGTGCATGTTGTCCACCTCCTGCATTCACAAACTCATGTGTGGTATCTTATCTTTAGGATAAAATTTTCAATGTTATGATTTTCAGTGGCTTCATAGCCATATGTCCATTCTCTCAACTAATGAAACACAAGTAGAGCTTGAACTTCCTTGCAGAAATAAACAGAACACACATGACCCCAGAGAACAGTTACAGTTTCTACGACAGCTGACTTGGCACCAGCAGGCATTTTCTCTTTGGCCCGATCACCTTTCAGTTCATCTGAGCGATGAGAAAAAGCAGATCTAACATGAACACAATTTCAGCATTTTTGTCCTGGAACAATAGAAAGCGAGGAGGTAGGTCACACTGGCTTCCCTGACTGCCTGTGAGAATTTTCAGCCTCGGCATGCTCACTTTCTTTCTTTTGTGTGACATGATGGGCCCCTGTTACTCAATTACTAAGGAGTGCGAAATGAAAATGCCAATGAACAAAAGCGCCGCACTTCCCAGTTAATAACCCAACATAACAACACCCCAGGGAGCCGGTGATGGGTCCTGGGCGGATGGTAATGCAGGTGGTAATATGAATTCTTTGGCAATAGGAAACGTTCACCCAGTGGATCGCTAAATAAGAGAGGGAGGGCTCTCAAAGCTGCTGTATGAAATTGATATTTCTCTGAGGGGACGTTGCAAAGCAGGCTGGATAGTCTCAGGCCCTGGCAGCTTTAGAAAATGAGCACTGGGTGGCATATAAAAGCAATCATTGGAAAGAAAAGGGTTGGAAATTAAACGTCCCACCTTTCACTATAAATGCCAGTGCTCCCTTATTAGCAAGCACTGATAGGCTCCCTGGTGAAGGCTGACACTGTAGCATGTCACTTTTTCTTCTGCTTCAAATCTTTACCTCATTCTTAAACCAGATTTTTGATAGGCGCACTCTCCATGGGCATTTTTTTTGTGTGCAAGAGAGAGCCAGAGGTCTAATGAGCTGAGCTTCACATGATGTTTTGTGTCTGTTCAGTTTCATCAGACAGCCTCGCGAAAATAGCAGCTCCGTGTCCCTGCATGGTCCAAGATACACAGATATGAGTCCAGCAACAACAAACACCTTCCTCAGTCAATCACAGGCCAAACAATAGCCAGAGAGGACGCGGAGAACAGGTTGTCATCGGCCAGCGTCTACCGGCAGCAGCGAAGTTTGTTGTCGTCTAGATTCCTGAACCTTTGAGGAATGTCTGGCTTCACTGCCAGCTACAAGATTTTCCCTGTTTTTCTGTACCAGACAGGTATTTTCCTGATGTTATCTCCCTTTGACTGATGTAGTTTCAGTGATGCTGGAGCTTTTTATGGTATCCAAGTAGGCTAACATGGTTCACCTTTCTCATTTGAAAGCTAAGTTGTCAGTGTAGAAGTTGTTGTGATTTGTTATAATCAGAAACTTGTGTAGTATAAGCAAAGGCTTTTATAGTTGAGGGTTGCAGGTTAGTATTTATTTTTGTTGTATTTCCTGAAATGTTCTGAAAATGAGATTTACTCCTCTGTACTTTGCACTTCAGAGAATTTTCGTTTCCCCTTTTCTTATGTTATTGTATGTTGATTTTCACATGGGGGGGGGGGGTGTTTTTGCTTCTGTCACATTTTCTCTGCAATATAAAGTCCTGTCTCTCTATGGGAGCAGCACAACCATAATTTCAAGCAGAGAGAACTCAAAAATGTCTTTCCTGCAGTAGAGTGTTTATTTCTTTGATTATTTATTTTTCATAAAAGAAAAAAAAATAAAACTGTCACCAGGTGTTACCAATACTTGAATAAAAATGGTGGCTCTACATACTACAGATATTTTACTACTTACATTTGCTCAACCTCAACACAATGAGCATTTTCCACACTACTCTGCATATCAGCTGCAGACAGATATTTGACCATGCTGGATGTATCTTACAGCTTGTGTCAGTATGTTCCTCTGTTTAACATTTCTGAGCCATGCTGCATTTATCTTATTGCTCAGGTATGTTATATTTTGCTCTAAATCACTCTAGTTAATTTCAGTACTCATGATTTCTCAGTTGCACAGAGGAGCACAAAAGTTGAAGTGTTTTTTTAAAGAATCTGAGGTAAACAGTTTTTTGGTCACTTTTTAAAACGAGATATGTAAAATAAGTGGCTTTAGATGAAAGATGCTGAATTTGAGTTTAGATTTGGTTAATTTTCTCAACTGAACAGCACTTGATTAACGATTCGTTCAAACACTGTCTGAAAGTTCCACATCTAATGATTCTTTCTGTTTCTGGCTCATATATAAAGGTGTAATTTTTATCATTAAAAAAAAAAAAAAAAAAAGAAAGAAAACATGGTTTTCAAACACGACAGTTGCTTTTGGGGTTCCAGGAGCTAAAGTCAATGTATTGGCATTTTCATGTTTTAGAGCCGCCATTTTGTTTGCATATTTTGAAATATAAATAATCACAGAATAAAATACATACATACACACACACACACACACACACATATATATATATATATATATTTAGAAATTAGCATTTACGTACAAAGTTGTCATTGCTGGTGTTTGGCAACTAAGCTGAAGCAGCACACAGGTGAACTAATTATATTCAGGATGAGTGAGTTCCAACCAGTGTCCCAGTGAGCCTCAACAGTGAGCCAACACAAACT